AATTGTCTGGTTTTCTAACCCAGAGTTGGGGGTCTTCTTCTGCAAGTAAACAATTTTGCAAAATATAAGTCTGTGAAGGCTCTCAATAGATGGGCTTTTCACTCTGTTACAGGATGAAAACAAGTTTGAAAGCTTATGAACTGGAATTGCTGGTCTCCAGGTAGCAGTACAGGGTGAGCATTTCCCTTACAAAAAATCAGATAAATACTCCAGAATATTGCAATAGCAATCCCATGTTGAGCTGTAAAACCAATGTACAGAGGATATTTTGGAGCAGAATGGTGACAAACTGCAGCAGTTTCAGGGAAGCATCTGTGTGTGTGGTGGTGTGGAGAACAGAAGCAGTTGGTGTGTCGCCTACAAGTAGTACCTCTTGTTGGAGCATGTCTCTGTAAAGCAATAGAAAAGAGCTGAGCTTTTTGAAGCATGGTATGTAAGAACATCTGCCCTTCAAAATGACAGTAATGCATCAGGTAAATGGAGGGGAGCTAGAGCTTCCTGCTGCATCTGACATAATTAAAGGTGATGAAAAAGTACTGCTGTTGTAATGGGGGGGATATGGTTTACTACATCCATCACAAAGAATGCCATTGTAAGAAGAGCGGAAACAGGAATAAAGATGCACCAGGTTTGTACCAGCAATAGAATTTCCCAGTACAATTTCTGCAGCTTTCATCAGAGGTGCTTGGCAGTACCTCTGCAAAATGACTGTTATCTCTGGGAATGTTTGAAGTGTTATGCTCCAATTCCATGGAGTCTGTCAGGTTACATCTTGCTTCAAGGGACTAATCCTGTGCAATGGCTTGGCCCCCCAACTTCTTTCCTTAGATTAAATCTTTGAGTAACTCTCCAGACAGTATGAGAATTGACAGCCTTAGATCAGTTAAGGAGACAAGGGTCTTGTAGTATTAGCCCCCCACTCTGTGCTCAATAGTCTCTTTCTCAAATCCTATAATAAAATAATGTAAATAAAACAAGACTGGTATCATAATCTTAAAGGGAATATGCAAAATAAGAATAATAAAATGGGAGTGACATATAATAGTTTCACGAGGACACTGTGAAACACAAAACAACAACAAACAGAAAACAAATAAACAAAAAAAATCAGGCTGGGCAAATGACTGCACAGATTTCAATTTAGATAGAATAAATGCATGAAAACCAGCAAGAAGCCATTTAAATATTCAAGCTGAATAAGAACCAAAGCATGCACCAGAGTTTTGGTTTCCTCAATCATTAGCCAAGCACAGATTTTAAAGATGTTCAATAAAGGGAATATATGGGTCTTTGCAACATGGTTAATATGGAATGAAATGACAAATCAGAGTAAAAGGTCATACCCAATTGCTATGCTGTGGTCAAAGAAATATGATGTGGTGATATTCAGGAATAAGAAAGAAAAAGAAATGAATGGAGAGGAGGGAATTTAGGAGACAGGGCCTAAATAAATCTTTTGCCATATCCACATAACTAGAAATAAAAATTAGTATCCACTGGGAGATGTCACTGAAGCAATGCAAAGCATGAGGAAGAGCATACTTTAAAGAAAAAAGGGGCAGCACCCAGTGGACATTTTAATGTAAAATGTAGTAGATTTACTACAAACATAGACTCCCAGCCAGCTCCGGGATCAAATGTGTGACCCAGTGCCACGGCTGACATGTCATGGGACAAGTAAAACTTGGCACTTTTTCTGTCCGGAAAGGAAGGACTTTATAATACCTACTTAAAGCCTACAGTGAATCAGCTCCACTGTTGGCAGCTTTTGTATCCTTCTCAAGCTGAAAACCTCCTAAAATGGCTTTCTGAGTGGTCCCTGGTCCTCTCCACTTCACCAAACTTTAGACATGGTTAAGCCTGTGATGTCCTTCAGACTTCCTTGGGAATTATTGAGTCTGTCTTGGTGGACGACAAGCGCCGTGAAGAACCATGTTGTATCAGAGCTTCGGCAATGGCAGGAGCAACTCATTGGTGCAAGCAGAGAGGTTCCTGGCTGAAACTTGAGTGGGCAGGAGTCTCACAAGAACTGCTGTCTCTGTGCCATGGAGAGGGAGCTTCCAGCCAGCAGGTCTTGGATGGTCTCTAGGCAGGGTGGCTGATCTGGGAATTTCTGAAGGAGAATAACAATCTTTGCCGATGCTGTTGCTTTTGTTGCACTCAGGAAAATGAGTCTTCAGGTGAAATTTTTCCCTTGTTTTTGGAGGGGAATAAATAAGCAAGGTTTTGTAAGATTATACCAAGACTACAGTTGACGTACACTGCTGATTTCTTATGCAAATAGAAACAAGGCTTTGAAATTTTGGCTAATCATTCAACCAAAATTGCTACTCTATATTAATAATAAGGACATATATTGATGATTATGTTCTGGATTCACTAATCCAATCACAAATGCCTTTGCTCTGTAGTTTCTTTGTACTCATATTTCTTACTTTTTTTTAAAAATATGACAATAATTGAAAAAAACTCAATAAATAGATTACAGAAACAGAGCAGAATTCCATTACTATACAAGTTCTTCCCCTTTCAGCATTTGCATGATAATAATTTAATAGCAGAATATAATTAGGGCAACTAGGGAAAAATGTATGTCTTTCTGTTATGTGATATCACCCTTATTTGCCAATACTGTGAGTGCACAAATGGCCCACAAAGATTTCACTTGAAAATCCAGATTGGACACTGGTGCAGGGGTTACATCAAGAACTTTTGTGAATAGAAATGCATGTCTTAGAACTGTTCCAGGCTGTTTTTCTGCTCAAAAGAGAGAGATTAACTGAGATTGGCTGTTTAATTTTTTATTTTCCCTAGTAATTCTACAGACAGGATTATTTGTAATCCAGTTTTATGGAAAGAACTAGTTCATGCTCAGCACTCAGCAATTTAAAAGTTTCCTGCTCCTTTTCCTTCCAAAACTGCTGTGCTGCTTTCTGCTTTCTGCTCTTGCCTCTCCCTGTGCTGCCTTCTCTTCTCAGGGTATTCTGTGTTCCAGCTGCTGTAGCATTATGGATATCTTCTCCTGATCCTTTCACCTCAGTAAAGGAGAAGTTATAATTTGATTAAAAAAAAAAGCTGGCCAGAAAAAGATGTTGTTCCGACTCTTATTAATCAGACACAAAGGACATCTGCCAGGCAATTGAGGAGATGATAGTAATGGTCTGGAAACAACAGAAAAGAGTAATTTTTGCTGTGTCTGCCCCACCTCATTATCTTCTCCCATCTCCCTTCCAGACTATCACCTATACATCTCCCATGTCCCTGCTGTGCACAAGGTACACTCCTGTGTTACCACACATCTCCATCCTCCCATCCATTGCTTTCCAGTTTATGCTATTCAAGACACATCAGGAGGTCTTCTAGTCTTTTCTAGAGAGAGACAGATCAGACATGCTGCAGATGTAGAAAAGTGAAGATTACTACAGCCTTGAGACATCCAACAGGGTTGTTCATATACAGGGAACTGTAGGGCTGTAATTTTTCTTTTCCTTGTTTCCTCTTTTTTTTTTTTTTTCCTTACTGCTGAAACCCTTTTTAGAGGGATACTATTTTGCAAAAATTTAGTCTCATGAGCTGTATTTCTCAGCTGGGCAAATTTCTGCTATATTCATGTGATGAGATTATTTATAATATCTTTAACAAGTACTATTCATTTCACAGATTATGACTGCAGCCTCCACACAATGGATAGTGTTGGCAGGGGAAACATAATTCAGTCAGAAGGCTCAAGAAATAATCTGTCATATGTACAAGGAAAAACTCAGTAAGGAGGTTTCTGGAAGAGCAAAGTTTATGGTTTTGTGTGCATATGGTATGGAGTGCTGATGGCAGTGGTGAAAATGAGGTTGGACAAAACCAAAAAATAAAAAATGCTCAGCTTTTTTCATTTTGCTTTTGTGACAGTCTTTTTAACAGTGTGTGACTTCACTTTTTAGAAAGAAGTTTATAGCAAAGTAATTTTATGGGAAGTAATTTGATATAGGCAATAGTTTAGTCATACAAGTACTGGGTTGCCAAAGGACTTGAATTCTAGCAGTCTCCCCTTTTCTCATACCTGCAAGGAAAGATGTGCCCTTCATAATCAAAGGGTGATTTTCAATGTCCTGCAAAGCCATTCCACGATCTCTAGTATTGCTTATAAATGAATACAGCTGGTAAAACAAAAGCATGTTGTTTGCCCTCTGCCATTCTGGAAAGCAGCCCTGGTCCATATTCTTGTCTTTAGGGACCACAGTCTCCTTGTGACTCTGCTTCAATCCTCTGCTGTGCAGTAACATCAGCCTTCATACTTTCCATCCTTGCTCCCTGCTGCCATTCCTGGGAAACACTTGGGCCACTGCTGGGCCCGCTGCTCTTCCTGCTGTGAGGCAGAGCAGAGGCAGGGGTGCAGCAGGGGCACTGCATGGGTCAGAGGTTTCCTCTGGTCCTGCGGAGCTCTCAGGGGAGCTTGCAATTGTCCAGATGCTTGTGGGCAAAGGAGGAAGCAAGGAAAGCATGTGGAATTGAAACAATGACTCTGCACATCACACAGCTCCCAGGTTTTCTGGCTCCTGGCTGCTGCAGGGCACTGGGCAGTGCAGACAAGATATTTTCTCCTCAGATAACATGTGCAGAGGTCAATGGCAGTAGCTTGATGCTTATTATTTTTGCCTATAACTGGTATGGGTAATATTCAAAAGGAAAATGCGACTCATAACTTCTGGTTGCTTTCACTCACTCTCTTTTTTTTAGAGTACACATATTTCTCAAGTACATTTACAGTCTGCCTTTAAAATGCTGTTCCATATTGTTCTTTCCAATTAAGCATGAGCAGATTAATGGGATGTATTGTTCTCTTGAGTTAACTCTACCATATTGTCATTAGGTGGATACGCCCTTATGAATCCAAATTTTCTTTCTGTGAAAGGAAAAGAAAGTGCATGCTCAAAAAGTAGGCCAATTTCTACCAAGCAGAATCAGCTGAGAGGAAAAAAAAAGATGAGTCCCCTCCCTCCCACTTTTTTATTTCAGTTGTTGTTTAATTGTTTCTTCGATCCAGTGGCTTAGTGATTTCACATCTATTTAATTAACAGAGAAATGGATAGGGTGCACCGAAAAACAAGAAAGGAAGATCAGATAGACAAATGGTCTCTGTAAGTTCACAGTTCTTGAAACAGATGTTCACCTCCACTGGCTATGGTATATCATTATTTCCAGGAACCCTGAAGAGAAAGTAAAATCCTTCATTACTTGTAGGAAAAATACAACAGTCTTACAGGACTAAACACTAGCCCATTTCATCAGATCTCATCTCACTGCTGTTGTATTACTCACAAGTCAACAAGTGTGTGTGTCTCGGGAAACTGAGACTGCAGATAAACATTAAAGTTGTCTGTGGAATGAGTGACTATGGAGATGTGATGATGAGGTGGTGTCTAAAGCAGCAGTAACTAAATGGTGGGAGGCTGAGGCAATTCCTCTGTTATTTATTTGGTGCAAGGCAAGATGTCAATTGTCTCTTGGACCTCTTACTTGCTTTTTGAAGAGGGTCAGCTTATTATTGAAATGGGGCTGCCTGACTATTACCGATAGCTGCCTGAGCCTGTGACTGAAGGGTTAGGGAGTGTGTGGAAAAGCATATTGCCTCTTGCTTACTTTTTACTATTTTCACTATACATTGCAGACATAAATAGGTAAAATATCAGTCTGGTGCCAAGAAGTCTTCATCTCTTCTGCCAGGAAGAAAATCAATAATTATGGGAATTCCTCCTGTCCTAGGGAGATGGACAAGGAATAGATAGACAGGAGAAGTTTGTCTATGCAGTCAAATGCGTATGCAAATACATGCACAGACACACTGGTGCAGACTGTCCACTGCCTAACTTTCTGCCCTTGAATCTGGTTTTCCCACCTGTGGGGCAAGATGGCAACCATGAAAGAACCCCTTGGAAAACGTACACTGAACACTTTGATTACGGGTGCCCCAGATTTAGCATGCCTTGTGATTATACTTTTTTGCTCTTACTGTCTCCATGAATGTTTAATCACAGCTGACTATTTCCAATCTGACTGCCATTTCTGACTTCAAGTGTATTAAAGGAGTCTTCAGACTCCCACACAACAAAAGTGTGGGGATTTTCTAGGAAGGAGGAACTAGAGGGACCCTCTCTGCTTCCCCTCTAGCTTTCACCCTTCACCTTTACATCAGAGCCCTGGTAGTGGAAAAGAAATGTTGAAATCAATATAAGAATAAATTTCTACATGGTCCTCATTGTGGAGGCAAGGTTTCTACAGAAAATCCTTGTAATCAGAAAAGAAGGAAGATGAGATTAAACTGATTAAACTGAGAAAGTCAAAAAAGGACAACTTGAAAGATTAGCTTGAGGACGACTGAAAAGCATAATCCTCCATGCATGTTAAGTAGAACAGTCCCTCTCTGTTATCAGCCCCTTCATCTGGTGACCTTCTGTTGCATTAGCACAGAGCTACTTGATCCAAGGCAAATAGTGAAAATTGAAAAGCCAGAATGCCAGTGACTACAACAGGTATCAATATTACTGCAGTGATGGTTTCTTATCATTAGGGAGCTCCATCAGAGCTTATTCTGGAAGCAAAAGGAACAGAAAATCACAAGTTATTACACTTGTGACAGGCAATAGAAGAAAAGACCTTGTGTCACAGTGGAAAAGCTCTTTTCATCTGCTCCAACCTCTAAAATTACAGTGTCATAACAGGAAAAGAGATTCAGGAGCTCACCTGTGTTTCTTTCCCTGGGAATAACTGAGCCTCAGTAGGTGGCACACAGCCAGTGTGTGGTACCCTTTTCTTCTGGAGTGAGAGGAAACAAAAGGCCTGTGTCAGTTTTACTGGTTCAGTGACCTTTTCTTACCCCACCTTTATAGTAAATCTGTTCCTATGTGTTCCCAGCAGCAGCAGCAAGACTGGTACCTCTGCAGCCTTACAGCTCCACATTGCAGGGCTGCATGTCTGAGCCTGGTGTGGTGTTCAAAGTCAGCATCTTCTCCCTTCTGATTCAGAGTTGTAGGAAGGTCTGGAAGGAGAAAGAAAGCAAGGCTGCTCTAGCCAAGTGTTGTTTAGCTCATGTACATCACATATCCCATCTTAACTTATGAAAGAATATTGATCCTGATTAGATTCACATTTTGTGCTTTGGAAATGTGCTTAGCACCACATTGACATAGAAACACTTTTAGAAGATTATTTCATTGTCTTTCCTTTTAAGTTGGCAGAGACTAGAAAAGCTAAGGAGTGGAGAATGGTACAGGTTTGTGACTGTGTGCTTCACCGGTTATATTTGCTATAATGCTTCACATTTGTGTCTGATTTGTCCTTTTCTCAGTTTCCCTTGCCCCCCCCCCCCCCCCCCCCCCCCACTTCTGTCTTTTAATCCCACTACTGCCCAAAAATGTGCACTCTTTTCTTTGCCAGAAGCCTGGAAGTCTACAGTGCTATTAATCTTTGTTGTAATGTTGCTGATGTAAATGACGAAGCATGACTCTGAATCATTTAAATGTTTTGACTGAATCCTAGATTTGTCATTGAGTTGGTGTTTCATTTTGTTCAGCTTGCTGCAAGTTAGTGCTTCTGTTTCCCCTGCTGCCTTTGTTGGTCTGTAAGTTAGGCAGGATGTCTTTGTAGGTCAGAATTTATTTTTTACTGGGCATTTGTCAAGGGCATATGACTCCAGCTAAAAATTGACAAAAATACTGTGGTCAACTGTCAGTGGAAAATGACAGTGCCTATTTTTAGATAATTTGTCATCATTTTTAAACCCACAGGATTTCACATTAAAAAAGCACAAAGCATTAGTGTAACAGCATCAGGTTTAAATGTTTTGAAAAATCTGGGGGGAATAAAAGGCCCTGCTACTAGTGAAATTTAATCTAGCTCCAGGATCCAGAGAACAGACCCATTTCTGGCAAGGCTCTTTATCATTAATTTGAAAGATCTTATCTGCATATAGCACTAATGTCAGTAAGGGGAACTAAATGGTATAGTCTTACCTTGCCTTTCTTTACTGGAGAAGTAAGGAACCCATTACACTTTTGCTCCCAAAAAGCTTTTGCCCTTTTGTCAGTAGGGTGGGTCAAACCTAATCTAGGTAGGAAGAAGCAGTACTGGTGCTTTGGGAGAGTTCCTACTTCTGTCATGTCTGAATTTGTCCTCAGTTTGCTTAAGTCTCAATGAAAAGAGGTTTTCAGTTCAGGAGGTAAAAGGATTCATTAGATCTCATTCCCAGAAATGTCTACCTGATTGAGAAAGAGTCCCCTCAGGGGTAATGCTCATAAGCAGGTGGAGGCTGAGGGGCTGAAAAATGACCCATTTTGAAGTTTATCTAATTAGCTTCAAATATATAAGTTAGGTGTTTTGCTAGATGGATTAGCGTAATTATCTTAGTGCAGCTATTCATGCTAGGAATGTCAGAAAACCTGAGAACAGAGGAGCTCAGAAAAAAATCACAGCGGCTCAGCCTGTTGACTGCCCTGACCGATGTGTAATTGTGCTGCACAGGAAACAGAGAAAGCTGGAAAAAACACAAGGTGAGAGGAGCTGCTTCAAAGACAAAATATTGACAGCCGACCTAGAAATAAATTGACAGGGATCTACCTTGGCCCAAATTCCTTACTCACAAGTAGTACAGAAAAATCATCCCAGGTGCACACAGTCATTGCATAAAGTAGCATCCTTATTGTTACACCAGCAATTCAGTCTGAGGTATTCACTGTAAGCTCTGTATCTTTAGTTTGGCCTCTGTCACTGAGCCATATTTAAAATTAATTAAAGGATTTTTCTTCATCTTGAAAGTTCTTTTGATGGAGAATGGATTACTATTTTATATTTTGATTACAGAGTTTTTTTTTCTAATCCACTGATAACAAAGATCCTGCACATTTTGTGAGATCTGTTTAAAATTCCCTTGAAAGACAGTCAACAGCTATGAAATAGCTTTTCCCAAAAACCAGCTTTCATTTCTTTTTTGGAGGAAGGGAATGGGGAATTAAAAAAAAAAAAAAAAGAGAAAAGGAAGAAAGAAGAAAGGAAAAAAATGAAAATAAATGTAGAAGTGGCATCAGCTTCTGTATTACTAAGCTTGTTTTTGTTAAGAATTTTTTTTTAGGTACACATCTGCCATGATGTATAGAAGCAGACTGGAGGAAAGAACAGCACTGCCAAGTAAACCTGAGACCTATCAAAGGCTCTTCTAATGATTTATTTTTAAACAGTGAGTGTTCCAGTTGTATGGTTTGTTCCACCCACAGAAAACATACTGCAAATCATGGGCTGATGTTGTCAGTGCCCCCCAAAATCCAGTGTCATGGACTTATTCACCTTCCTTGCTGAACACCTTCTTTTGCTCCTAATTCATGCTGTCTCCATGCCCCCATTCTGTAGGATTAGCTGAGTTTCCAGCTAATGGTGTTTCTAAGTGTATCAAGTGTGTGATGTTAATTCCCCCAGCATCTCATTGACTTTCTAGTCAATATTGCCGTGATCATTTCAGAACCACTCTTGTGTCCGAAGTATTGTAAATGAGTTTAATCACTGGAATGACCTGGTTTTCAGCAGGGTTGTGCACCCTTGGTAACCATGGAGTCACCAGGTGACCAGCAGCCATCTGCCCCCTGATTCACCAGGGTTTTGAGTCATGTCTGTAGACTATAACACCAGGATTAAAACACCCTTAAGAGTATTCAAAATAGTCATAGTTTCCCCAATAAGTAATTGTTTTTTGTGTTGGAAAGGCCTATTTTACCAAAATCTAAATTTTTTATGTGAAAAATACTAATTATTACCTTTTTGTCATGAAAGAAATCTAAGGTCTAGCAGCAGATAGTGATCTTAACTGGGCCAAACCACTGAATTGGTTCGTGAAATTTATCTGATTTAATTTGATGTATCATTTATAATAGACCAAGTCACCTTTAGCATTACAGATTCCTGTTATGTTTCTATAATGTGAAATTAAAAGGATCAAAATCAGGACATGATATTTTAATTTTAATAAAATTGTATGGTTGTGATTTAATAATCACAACTTGTAAAAATAATTGTTTTTTTTCTTGTAATGTCTTCCATTTGGAATTTGGAATGAAAACAAACTTCAGAATGTGTTTCAGACAGTTTTAGACTTTCAAGTGACAACCAGCTTTTTCTGCCTGCTTGTGCTTAAGTTATTTTACAGGTATATGAACTTTCTCCCTTTGTAGATTTTTTCTTGCTGCTTTAAAGGCAAGCATTTGTCCTTTTGAGTCACAGCAGAGGGCAATCAAATGGATTGAAGACTGGAGTTCTGCCCCTAGCCTTTATTTTTGGGAGAGCAGAGAAAGTAGAGGGAGATGTGTTCTGACATCTGTGGCATGTGGGGGTTGGTGAACTCGCAGCTTCACAGCTACGCTCCTTCCTCTTATGTGCTTCTCTCCTATCCATTCCTCTGCACATCTCAGAAGAGTCACTGCTGGCACCTGGAGAAAGAGGCTTCGTCCTGGCTACAGAGGGACATTTGTTCTGAAGGAGTGGACTGTTATAAACATTTTCATGTGCACACACAGATGAGAGAAGAACTCAGAAAGAGAGACCCCAAGAGGCAAAGGGAGAAGTGAGAAGCTGTGAATTAAGTGTTTTGAAAGGAGAAAAGAAATCCAGACCCTGAAATTATGCCTTTTAAGCTCATTAGAAATTTCTGGGAGGTAACATGGAAAAGAGTTAGGAGGTTCCCACCAACAAGCAGGCTGTTTGCCCTGCCAGCTCATGGCTTGAGGCCAGACTCCTATCCAGCTGCCACTGCCATTATGCCCTGCAGGATACCTTAACTGTTGTACCTCTGGGTGGGTTTTAGCACTCTCCTGGTTAAATCCCTTTGTTTCCTCAACAGTTCTGCTTCAGAATGTGATTTTGATTTTGGAAATTAGGGTGCACTGTCATTTTTAGTGAGGTTTCAGTTATCTATTTGACATTATTTTTGCTATATATTTAAGACATTATATAAACCCTTTCTGTATGTTCCTATTTGAACATGAATGTGGCATTTTAAGAGCCTTGCTTATTGGTGCACTATGTTTATGTTTAAACTCTTTGACTAAACACTAACAAATGTAGCTGTAGCAATACAGAAGTTCTGAAAAAAATTGTAACTACTGGAGAAGTAGCATCAAGCCGAGGGCAAGGTGATGAGTTGACATTCTAAGGAAACTGGAACAACTAGGTGTATTTTAGGACAGGTGGGCATAGAGGTGGTGTATTTGGAATGTCCTGATATTCTTCTTGATGCATAGACAACTCACAAATGTCAGGACATCTCTTCCTGTTACTAGTGAGTTATTACTTACACTTAATTAGCACATGGAATCACACATGTTGAATTCCTACAGATTTTTGTTTGACTTGCTACAGATAGATCATAAAAGACCAGCCCTTATCCTCAATCAAGTCCTCTGTTAGCACTGCCATTCACAGCCTTTTGTGCTTCTTCAGTTGTGTCCCTGCTACTCTAGCGGGAAACTTTCTTGAGAACACTCTTATTTACTGCACACATCTCCTCAGGTCAGGGCTATTTCTTTTTCATCTGACACTTTCCCTAGGCTACAGAGGTCTCTGTTTCTCCTATTTCCACCCCTTTGCAGATGGAGTGCCTGTTTGCTCCCACCTTCTGAACAGACATGGATCTGAACTTTTCGCATTTTAGGTGACAGTCACGATAATATTGTTAGGGATCTGACTATTTTTGATTTAACAGTTGAAACACTTAAACTTTCAAAAAGTTGAAAAAATTAGCTTAATAGTCTGAGGTAATGTAGTCTTGTGACACATAGAGAGAGAGCAAGACTTAATCTCCTCTATTCTGTTTAGCACTTGGTTACCTGTAAAATACCTCTCGTTTCAGGAACAGCCTAGTTTAGTCGTGTTGGCATTGCCTATGTGTTTGAGAAGTTTTGTGTCAGCCATCTGTGCCACAG